AGGCAGAACTGGATGGTGAGTGCCTGTTGGGGTGTGCTCGCTCACTCTCCACTTTGCACCCCAGTACATGGGCATGGAGCTGAAGGGGAAGACTCTGGGCGTGCTGGGGCTGGGCCGCATTGGCAGGGAGGGGGGCCGCCCCGTGCACGCATTTGGCACGTAGGGCAGGGAGGAGCAATGGGGAGCATGGCCTCTCCTGGCCCGGTCAAGGGCACCATGCCAGGCTGCAGGAGCAAGCACCCGATCTGCCTCAGACCATAGGCTATGACCCCATCATCACCCCTGAAACCTCGGCCACCTTCGGTGTGGAACAACTGCCACTGGAGCAGATCTGGCCCCACTGTGACTTCATCACGGTGCACACGCCGCTACTGCCCTCCACCACAGGTATGGGGTGGCTGCCAGCACAGGGGGGGTTGGAGAGAGCCGGCAGCCACTCACTGCTCACAGCACTGCCTCCGCAGGGCTCCTGAACGACAGCACGTTCGCCAAGTGCCGCCGTGGTGTGCAGGTGGTGAACTGTGCCCGTGGTGGAATCGTGGATGAGGGTGCACTGCTGCGGGCGCTGCGGTCGGGGCAGTGTGGTGGGGCTGCCCTCGATGTCTTCACGCAGGTGAGCAGCGCTGGGAGGACCCCCTGAGTATGGCTTTGTCTCAGCATCACCTTAACTCTGCCCAAGCCAGGCCAGGGCAGCAAACCCTGCAGCACCAGGACAAGGCACAGCCCACCCAAGCTTCCCTCTTAGCAAGGGAGGGGGGATTGAATGCCCCCACCAGATCCCAGGTGGGTGCTGGGGGCTCACAGTGGGATGGGACTGTGTTGGCAGGAGCCCCCGAAGGATCGTGACCTGGTGAACCATCCCAATGTCATCTGCTGCCCACACCTGGGGGCCAGCACGCGGGAGGCACAGAGCCGCTGCGGCAAGGAGATCGCGATGCAGATTGTGGACATGGCCACAGGAAAGGGTCTGGCTGGCATAGTGAGTCCCCCTGCCAGGCACTGACCTCCATGCCTCGGTTTCCCCACCTGTAAAACATGGATGCACTAGGAGCAACCACATGCTCTCACTGGTGGGTTCTCATGGCTCTCCTCGCTCTTCCTCACAGGTCAATGGCGAGGCTTTCAGCAAGGCTTTTGCGCCCCAGACCAAGCCTTGGATTGCTCTGGCCAAGGCCCTGGGCACAGTGCTATGCACAGCGGGCAAGGAAGCACAGGACAGCATCCAGGTCTGCACCCTAGGTGAGGATGCACTCCACGCCTGGTTACAGGGGCCCTGATGGGTGGGCAGTGCAGCAGGGTGTGCGGGGACCCACTGGGCTGGGTGAATGGGAGGGCGGCCAAGAGAAGAGACGGACAGGAGGGTAGTTGATGATGGGATGACAGGGTGGTAGGAGAATGGGGATGTAGGGGTATGGATGTGTGTATGGATGAATGGGTGCATGGATGGGTGGGAGGATGGGAGTAGGGATGGGTGGGTGGGTGAAAGGATGAGCTTCAGGCTC